TCTTAAGCTTCAGGAACAGCCGGCCAAGAAGTTTCCACGGTTTTTTTCGTTTTAATTTTTTTTTTTTTCAAGAGTGGGATCTTTTGGTAAAGGATTCAGTTAATAATGGTTGTAGGCTACCCAATTTTAATTGTTTCGAAACAATTGAAACGATTAGGAGTAAGTTGACTGAAACTCAACTTGGGATCCTGAAAAAATCATGCTTTGGAAAGCAATCTATCATGGAGATTGGTTGTAAACTCAGTTGACGTTCTTCACACGTCTCAGTACAATCCATGCTTCTGTTGCAAAGGCATTTTTTCGGCTCCAATGTTACACAAAGTGGCAGTTTTGTGTAATATGTTTCTTTCTTTTTCAGCTCTTTATAAAATAGCAGGCTCGTCTCGTTGCTTATTGTTATCAGCTTGTATCCTTTCCTTATTTGATACTTTATCACCATCCTTGCATCAGATGAATCTCTTTTTATTATTTTTTTCCACAGCTTCTTCTAAATCATCCAAACTTTCACTCTCTTTATGGAAGACACCACAAACTTCATATCCATCATAACTGACTTCATTTATCCATTCCCCATTATATTGCACAATCAGAAGATCATTGCTCATGTTTCTGCAAAAAAATTTCATAAACGAAATTAAATGGTTGCTTACATATTTTTGTATAATTGATTTCATGTTTTTCTATTAATTTCATATATTGATCATAGTAGCTAATGTGAACTTGGAAAAAGCACGAAGAACACCAGGCGGTGGTTGTGACCTAGCCACTCGCTCACTTGCCCCTGCTGAAAGCGTCAACATTAGAGGTGATCAGAAAGGCAATCCCATCTCCAGAAGGAAGGACACAGTGGGGAAGATATAATTGATAAGGATAAACAGCATGAGAAAGATGCGGTGGAGTTTGTTTAGGAATCAAGAAACCAAATAGGGTAGACATAAAAAGCCCTGTCTACGCCTGAAGAAAGAAGAAGGAAGAACACACAAAAAAACTATTTTCTACTTACCTGTGAACTCGTACGACGGGCACCTTCTTTGTTTTCAATTTTCTGCGTTTTTTATTTCAATTTTTTTTCCTGAAAGATCTTAATTTTCTTTTTGCAGTTATGTGTTTGTGACTTCTTTTCGTGTTTATGTGTAATAACTGACATCAGTTATCTTTCATATTCAAATTTGTTGTCATACGGTTTTTCAGAAACATTTCAATTTAATAGTTTTTCAAGTTCAATTTTCATTTTTTTTTGTTTTTTTATTTTTATTTTTTTGTCGGTCTAATTGTGTCCTATTATAAAGCATATTTGGGATTGTGTATCGGTAGGTACTTATACGGAAATATTGCTGAAAAAGGGAATAGTTGTAAATTTTTGCCGTTCTAGCATGTAGGGTTGGTGATTTGGCCACGGCCAGCCCAATAACTAGTTTTTGATTGCATGGCAATAAATATGACGAAGTTACATTCCTGAGCTTAAACATAAATATTAGCATATATACTATCTTGTGAAAAATATTTGCATATGTACAAAGAAGAATGATAGATAGTGAACGAAATAAGAATGATTCTGGACCATTGGATCCACTAAACCAATGGTCATGATTAAATCAAAATTTAATAAATAATGGTTAAATATGGATGGCAATATGGTAAATAAGTATATAAATTGTGGTCAAATATATGATTTTTATCACTCATTAAGGGTAAATTAGTCATTATACACTCATTAAATAACAACCATTAATAGTGGGTCCCACCTAACCTCTCCCCTCCCCCATCTCTCAGACACACATATACTCACACAAGATCTGGTTTTATTCACGAACACACACAGTTCACACACAAACACACACACACCCACGCCAAGCAATACTCAGCCACCATCTCCGCCGACCGTCGTCGCCCCATCGCCAGTCGCCGCAGACTTACCCTCTCTCCAGAAGTCCGCCATACACAGCAGAGCGTCCACCGAGCCCAGCCCATCTCAGCCGCCGACGACCACCGTGTCCAGAAGTCCGACCATATCCGTCGGAGGTGAACGACAGGCGGAGCTAAAGCGACGCGGCGGCGGACTGTTATGATGCGACACGACGGAAGGCGGCGATGCGAGGCGGCAGCTGACGAAGACGAAGATATGTGTTTGTGGACGGAGGCGAGGCGTCGAGCCGGATTACAGTTACGAGGTGGAGGACGGAGACGAGCAGTTGTGCTGGCTACGAGGAGGCGGACAGTGGCGACCCGACGCGACGACAACGGCGGTCCGGAGACAGCTGCGTGTTGTGTGTGAGTCGAGGCCGGCGGCATGGTGACTGTCCGAGATGGTTGGAAGNTCATGGGACAGTGGTGTGTGAGTTTGGGCTTTTCTTTTGAAAATTAGATTAACTATAGGATTAATTTGTATTTGTTAAAACTTTAATTATAAAGTAATATAATTAGTGATTAATTATATAAATTACTAAAAAAACTACTAAATATGGAATATTGATAAATAATGTTAACAATAAATGTATGGTTATTCAATTTAATTTGTCATAAAATATATTATTAGTATTTAATATTTTGTTACTTGATTTTTATATTATTGTTTGATTAAAAAAATTAGTATATATGTAAACGAAATATACTATGCAATCTAACAAATATTAAGGTACAATTTGTCTAACACTATGGTGGACGGTGTCGATCTGTATTGTGCATATTGAACTAACCAAACTCTTGTCCCAAGTCAAATTGAAGATGAACATTATTAATTAGTTTATTCGGTTCGGTTAGCCGAGTTAACAAATAATTGAAACAACTTGCTATTTATATTAAAACCACATTTATTATGTTAATAAATTTATTTATTATTTTTATATTATTTTTGGTTGTAAAAAAAAAAGAGTTTTGTCAGTTTTGATTTATATTTTGCAATCCGATAAACATGATAAAGTGCAACATGTTAGTTTATAAAGTGCAACGTTTGTTATATAAAGTGCAATGTATTAATGTGTAAAGTGTCTATTTTGCAATCTGATAATCGTAATAAAGTGCAACATGTTAGTTTATAAAGTGCAACGTAATGTGTAAAGTGAATTACTCTTAATTTTGGTATGTTAGTATACTTTGTTGTTTGTGTGGAGAAAGTGCAACATGTTAGTTTATAAAGCGAGACGTGTTGTTGTATATAGTGCACCGTGATGATATATAAAGTGCAATACTGAAAGTTTAGTACGTTAGCATGTTTGTGTTTGTTGTGTATATATTATATGGTGGATATTAAATTATTATGTAGATCTATTTTTTTAAATTTATCTTGCGTAATATTTTGATGGGAGTTGTTGACATTAATTGTGTAGTGTGTGATAAATTGAATCGTGTTGTTTTACAAAGTGCAACTTCTTGTTTTATAATGTGCATCGTACTGTCATATAAAGTGCAATACTTTTATATGACTACATATAAATTTTGTGTTTTTTGAAAACTATTTTTAGTAGATATAATTGTACATCGAATCAACCTTAATATCTTACCTCTGTCATTTCGGGAAAAAAAAAAACTTAATATCTTAAATAATTTATTATTTATTCTTACAAAAGTATATTTATTATTGTAATATATTNATTAAATAAAGATCCCTAATTTGAATTTACAAATTTATTACACATTTATATATTAAAATATATTAAGATTTTAATATTTTTATATAAAAATTTTATATTATTTTTTATTTATAAGACATGATATATATTTTTAAAAAAATATGTACAAATAAATATTTTTTGATATATTTTCTATAAATTACAGATTTGGCTCATGGACTAAATTGGAATAAAGTTAAATCTTTATGAATTCACACATTGACCCCAATGGTTTAATTGTAAATAACTAAAAATTTTAAAATTGCAAACCACCCCTTGTAACATATCAAATTCACAATCACTAGTCCTCAGCACTAAAACCAGATCCTCAGCCGTTCTGCCGCCGGCGGCGGGCCTCCGCCCTGCTGCACCGTCCCAGCTTATCATCTCACCGGTGATGAAGCCTATGAGCCATCGCCGACCGCCTGACTCATGGAGAGTTCTCAGCGGCGGCCGGAAGTTTCATGAGCAACGAGCATCGCCTAGTCTGCACACGTTTTATCGACAAAACATTGACTTTTTAGACGTCGACTTCTACGTCGAATTCGACAGCCTCCGGCGGCGGTGTTTCAGCGGCTCCGACGGCGGCGACGGTTGACTTTTTTTTTCTGGTTGCAGACGGCGGCGTGAGGATTCCGTGTGAAGACGACGACGGCTTACTGATGAGGACGTCGGCGGCGAAACAGATGAGCACGTCGGATTAGATTTTCATGGAGTGTTCGACGGCAGCTAAGGCGCGGCAACGGCGATGACGACGGCTGAGGCGGGGAGGTTGGGCTGCGTGTGTGTGACGCCGACGGCGGTGTGCGTATATCTTTCCGCCGACACTGTGTGTGTATGTGTGGTGTGTGTGTGTCGAGTAGGTGTGTGTGTGTTTTGGTGTGTGTGTTTTGAATTATTTATGTGTGTGTCAGTGTGTGTGAGAAGGTGAGAGGGTGGGTGGGGTGCGTGCGTCTGATTAATACATGTATGTGTGTGTAAGTGCGTGAGAGAGGGTAAGTGGGTGGGTGGGTGTTGTGTGATGTGTAATGGACACATGGCATTAAAACCATTGGTGTGGTGAGTGTTAGTTAGCATTGTCCCACATATTTATAATCAAAATGTCCAGAATACCCTTAATGACTAAATAAATACTTGATGTTTTGTTACCATTAGATCATCTGATCCAATGGCCACGATGTATTCTTATTTCTTTCGCTATATATATATATATATAAGAATAACCATTTACCAAAAATAGTAACAAAAAAATATGTCAGAATTTAATGCAGTCTATAAATAGTAAATTTTATTGTTTTCTTATTTTTTTCCTTAAAAAATCATATAACATTAAATGTTGCTTAAATTTTGGACTTTAGTTCATTTTATTATTAAAAAATCCGGCTAAGATCTATTAAGTATGTATGTTTAAATTACATTTTTTTCTTATAAATAACGAACAACATTAAATTCGGTCTCTATATTTATAAAATCTCAATTCAAAATATAACAAATTTTAGAATCCCTGTCTTTATATTTGTGCCTTTCAAAGAAAAAAAAAATTGAACGCTACAAATATTCTTTAACTTGTGTAATCAATCAATTAATCTTAATTTTTTTTAAAAATTACTATGTTTATTTTTTATTAATATGCATAAACTAAAAATTATTAATTCATCTTTAGATATTTACTTTATAATTTTAATATACGAAATGGGATCAAATGAAAATGAATGATAATGAAAGAAATAAGAATGATTGTTTCACCATTAGATCTAAAATATCAATGGTCATGATGGAGTCAAACTTAGATAATTAAAGTCAAACTCATTAAGGAGAATTTAATCATTTGACACTCATTAAGGATAATTTAGTCGTCATAAAAATACTAATTAAGTGGGCCCCACACAACCACCTAACATGTTATCTCCTTCACACACGCTTCGCCGTTTTTCCCCACCAGTATCTCTGCCCACCTCTACCAGCCCCACCGCGGACCACCTTCTTCCTCCGCCGTTGTCATCCATCCACCACGACAAGTCCTCTCCCGCACGTCCAGCGATCACCGGATAATAGCAGACACTGTTATAATATTTAATTATTATAATGTTGAGTGTAAATTTTAATGTGTCAGGAGTATTGATGGTTCTGACATTTTGTCAGAATTAATGGCCTAACATGTTAGTATCATTCAAGTTATCAAAATGATATTATATCATATGATATATTTATTGCTCCACATCCAACTACCAAATTGAATGCTACAGACTCGTAAAGGGTTCTGACAATTGCTACAAATCATCTATAAGAAGAGGGAGTTCTCACAAGGGACATAGAGAGAAAAGAGAAATCACAATACGCAGAAAGAAGAAAGTGAAAGAAAAATAGAGAAAATAAAAATAATATTTATATTTTTAGTGCTCAATTCTTGACTCCAATCTTGTTCGCCAGAGCTCGTAAATCTGGTGTGCTACAGATTTAGAGACGTTTGCCGTTGTATCTTTGGGGAAGTTACGCTTGAACCGTTAGCAGCCACACGGGGCGTATTCTTCTTGCGGAAAGAGTTTTACTCGCCTCGGCTAAATTCTTTCTTTTTGTTCGGTTGTAATTTGATTTTATCAGTTGTAATTTATTTTTCAGTTTGATTGTAATTTTCTATTTTTAGATTATTTGCAAGAACTGAAAAATTACATATCAGTTCGTAGGATTCTCGTGTATTTTTATATCCATTTTATAACAATCGCAAGAAGAATATTTTGTCATCCTACTGAACTGATGGCGTCCACCGGAGAAGGTTCTCAACATCAGCATCCGGTCAACCAAGTTGTTAATAATCCAGTACGAGTTGTCTATGTCCCCACTGCTGAGAAGCCCAAAAAATTCAACGGGCTTGATTTCAAGAGATGGCAACAGAAGATGCGCTTTTACCAAACCACCTTGGGTTTAGAAAAGTACCTGAAGGACGATCCTCCAGTAATTGATGAAAATGAAACCAATGCTGAACTACGCAATGCGTACGATGCTTGGATGCAAGGTGATTACCTTTGCTGTAACTATGTCCTGAACGGACTTAGTGATGAGTTGTACAATGTGTGCAGCTCGGTTGGTTCTGCTAAAGAGCTTTGGGTTGCTTTGGAAAAGAAGTACAAGACCGAGGATGTCGGGGCGAAGAAATTCGTCGTTGGAAAATTTCTTGACTTCAAAATGGTCGACTCAAAGACCGTCGTGTCCCAAGTGCAAGAGTTTCAACTTATCTTGCACGATATCCATGCTGAGGGAATGTCTTTGAGCGAGTCATTCCAAGTTACGGCTGTGATTGAGAAACTGCCACCGGGTTGGAAAGACTTCAAGAACTACCTCAAGCATAAGAGGAAGGAGATGAGTCTTGAAGACCTTGTTGTTCGTCTTCGTATTGAGGAGGACAACCGGAATTCATCTGGAAAAGCTCAGATGATGGGGCTCGTACCAATTTGCTGGAACAAGGAAACTCGAGCAAGAGAAAGTCTCTGGACAAAGGGAAGCAGCCAGGTAAGGTTTGGAAATTTACAGGTACTTGCTACAACTGTGGAAAGCCAAACCATATGGCGAAAGACTGCAAGAGGCCAAAGAAGGTTGTGCCAAAGAAAGGTAAACCAAGTGCCCTTGTAGCTGAACATGGCCGTGTGTCGGGTGAATTGACCGACTTTGGTATGTCGACTGTGGTGTTTGAAGCCAATTTGGTGGGTAACCCAAGGGAGTGGTTCATCGATACTGGTGCCACTCGTCATGTGTGTTCCGACAAGGAGGTATTTTCTGAATACACTCCTGCTACGAGTCGGAAACTTCACATGGCAAACTCCTCCACGGCTGATGTGGCTGGAGTGGGCACTGTGGTGTTGAAGCTGACTTCTGGAAAGGAGTTGAAGCTTAGGGATGTTCTGCATGTCCCAGACATCCGCAAGAATTTGGTCTCCGGATCTCTTCTTGTTGAGCATGGATTTAGGCTTGTGTTTGACGCTAAGAAATTTGTTCTTAGTAAGTTTGGAACTTTCCTTGGTCGTGGATATATCGACAAGGGTTTATTCAAAATGAATCTAATGGCTGTGAGCCGTGTAACCGTTGCTAATGAAAATGAAAAGCCTATTTCTGTTTATACAGTTGAGTGCTGTGATTTATGGCATGTTAGATTGGGACATGTAAATCTAAATGCAATTAAACGGTTGATGAATTTAGAATTAATTCCTAATTCTAAAATTGAATCACATAAGAAATGTGAAATATGTGTTGAAGCAAAAATGGCTAAGTTGCCTTTTCACTCGGTGGAAAGGAGTACTGAACCATTAGGCTTAATCCATACTGATGTATGTGATATGAAAAGTGTGCAAACAAGAACCGGTAAAAAGTATTTTGTAACTTTTATCAATGATTGCACAAAGTTTTGCTACTTATATTTGTTAAGAAGCAAAGATGAGGCTGTGGAAGCGTTTAAACTCTATAAGACCGAAGTTGAAAATCAACTCGGCAAGAGGATTAAAATAATCCGAAGTGATAGGGTGGGAAGTATGTAGCTCTTTTTGAACAAATATGTTCTGAATATGGCATAATTCATCAAACAACGGCTCCTTATTCTCCTAAGTCGAACGGTGTTGCAGAACGCAAGAACCGTACTTTAAAAGAAATGATGAATGCCATGTTAACAGCAAATCATATCCTGAATGAAATACCACCTAAAGGGAAAGATAAGACTCCTTACGAAATGTGGAAAAATCGTAAGCCGTCTTATAAATACTTAAAAGTGTGGGGATGTTTGGCTAAGGTTTCAGTACCGGAACCCAAACAGATGAGAATCGGACCAAAGACGGTCGATTGTGTATTTATTGGATATGCATACAATAGTATGGCATATAGATTTCTGGTTCATAAATCATAAAGTCCAGAGGTATCTGTTGGTACCACGATTGAGTCAAGGAATGCTATATTTTTTGAGAATGTTTTTCCTATGAAGGAAAGGGCAGAATCTAGTTCTAATAAACGAACGTATGAAACTGCTAGTGGTTCTGTACCAGAGGGTACTGATGAAGAACCGAGACGTAGTAAAAGGGTAAAAACGTGTAACGCCCCGTTTTATTTTAAAGAATTTATCGAATTTATTTAACAAAAATCAGGGTTATTTTTTTTTTTAAAATCCAAGTTAAAACCTTTATCGAGAAACGGGCGCTACTTATTAACCACAACAAATAAACACACTCAATCAAACAATCTAATGAACCTACACATGCTCGAGCTATCAAATTGACAATCTCATAAATCATAAATTTCCAAATCATTCCCTTAAATTCATAAGTCTCAAAACATTCAAATAAGTCTAGCATGAAACAAGGTTCAACCAAAACTTAAACATAATTAAAAAACGGAAGCAAGAATTAATTCAAAGTATGAAAGCAAATAATTAAGTAACAAGTTCATGCGCAACACATAATCAGCATACGAAATCAAGCAGGGATATAAACACATAATAAAATATCCAAACCCAAGCGAGAAAATAATTCAAGTCAAGTTTCAGTTCAACAAACTATAAACAGGCGGAAGCATAATATATCATCAAACAGTGACCACCATCTCGCTCGTCCTACGCCACCG